GATTAGATAATTTATTATATACCATTTTAAAGACAGATCCATAAAGAATAGACGTATTACTGCAGAAATTTTTCCAGCTGGTAATTTTAGCTTGTCTGATATTGCTTTTGTAAAGAGCTCTGTGAAATTAAATTTTGTAGTAACTTCTTTCTTCATCATCCACACAAGATTCAAACCTCCTGCGGAGGCCTCTTACTTTACTAAGCTCCGCAGTTAAATTTGTATTCCACCAATTTAATTTAAATTTGTTAAAAATTGATCATTTTTATAAATGGAGTTACATATGTTTTGAATAATATTAATGAAGTATTCAACAGAACTGTTGACATCAACTTTTTATGAAGCAGAATTAAATGTCGAGATGATACATTTTGAATGATTTCGTAATATTGTTTTGAATTGGTGATGGCCTCCATATTATGTCTTGAATCTATGTTTAATTGTATAAGTAATATCTGCATGTAGGTTAAAGGTAATGAAGCGGTGGTTACTTAACGATTCTTGATCGGAAACGGTCCAGTTGTTAATCAGATCTGCTATGTTAGAAGATGCTAGAATATGCTTGTATATTCTCTTCTTTGACATATTGTAGAGCATTCGGGGGTGTGATTTTTAGCATTTGCAGATTTATTTGTAACATTTTTCTGTCCTTGAAGGATTCCATTAATAGGTGGTTTTTGATTTAATTTTTTCAACCTCTTGTTGATAGGAAGGACATCTGACGTCGTTTGCGCTATGGAATATATCAAAATTTGTATGGAGACGGTTATTATTTACCTGGAAATTAATTCATCTTGAATTTATATCCTAACATGATGTTAACATGGGTATCCTAACATGTATTGTATCCTAACATGATGATAACATGGGTAACATGATGGCATTCACCACATAACATGCAATGGGTTCAGTTTGAGCTATATTTGTAGTTGTGGATTAAAATTCTGACAATTAGTGCAGCGTCTAATCCCATAGTTTTCCGTGATATGGATGAATTTCCTACCGATTGATATTGTTTTTAATTTTTGTAGACTATTGAAGACTGACGTTGTACATTCTAAGATCCATTTTGGTGTGTTTTCTGAGCGTTCCGAAAGTTTGTGGATAAGAATAAATGAATGCTTGAAGTCGATGTCAATAAGTTAATAATATCTAGCTCCGAATATGGTGTAGATTGCGCCTAGGTAATCTGGGTATTGAAATCCTGAGAATTAAGTCCTTGACGTTGCTGTTGAAGACCTTGCTGTTAGTGATATACGGCTTCATGAACATAGCAACAGGAAGCGATCGTTTGCCGTTGTGGTAACTCTCCAGTGTCGAGACCCACGTCTTCTACAGAGGTTTTGATCCCTTTGGTAACAATTCCAAATTCTATTAATAACACTACCATGCACATTCAGCTCTCTCGCAACAGCTGATTATCTTGAACCAGCTTGCAACATCCGGGTAGCCTTCCAACGCATTTCATCGTGCAAATGGTGTCTTCGCCCATGTGTGTGGTAAGGTATTGTTGTGTGACTGCAGGATTGCGTTTTATGCTAATTTTGGTTGCCTATTGCATTCAACGACGCAACATCTACCTCATATGTAAATTATATGTTTTAAACCCCCTTTTTACATTTGTACCTTTTCTCTTATCGTTTCTTGCTTATTTTTTTATCTTGAGTGTAATGTGAGAATCTATGGGTATTTTTCAATGTCAACAGAAAGACATGAACACTATGTCATTTCATTTATCTGAAAAAACAGAATTCTTGGAATTCTCAGATATAAACTAGATATGTGGCTTTCTCTGAAGCCATGCATTGAATGAATTCAAATTTCGGGGAAGGCCTTAAGTTCTTATTTCGTAGGCAGACCAACTGATTGTTCTAAATTATTCAAACTGCTTTTAATTAATGATAATTCTATAGAAATTACATTGATTATTGAAATATGTTTATTATTCTCTAGAAGATATTACTTATGTTACACTTAATGTTGATATTTAGTTAAGCTGTTTAAGAACTAGAGAAGAATGAAATGTCTGCTGAAGATGTTTTCAACGTTTTTCAGACTTCAGAAATACGCTTAGATCTCGATACGCTGAGAAAACTTTGTTTTTCAATTTCATCAACATTAAAAGGAATTAGATAATGCAGAATTTAAATATTATCGATGACTTTAAATTATTTCTTTCTTTGGCTAATTACTTATTTAGAAAAACGCTGTGATGAAAATTCTACATATGGCAAATTATCGATTCTAACTCTGTTAAATAATTCATTTCCAGAGTACCAGAAACGTGTTGGAAATTATTAAAAACTAGCAGCTTCGCTGCCAGCCTTCGTCTGGCTTTTAAATGTACCGGAAAAATGGCTGAAGGGAATACCAAACGTTAAATTTAAAAACTGCGTAGAATTTTACTCTGCAGAAGAACTTCATAAAAAAGGTTATTACGTATAATAAAATTACAATGCAATAATACAAATATTAATTATCCTAATAAATAAATTAACCAACTTCCCTTTGCAAAAATTTAAGAACTCAAATGGTATAAAGGAGGTTAAAAACTTTTTTTCCTAAAAAAATCACTCAAAATTTTTCAATATCTTAAAAACAGTGAAATGAGCCATAAATAACATAAAAGAATACAAAAAATAAAAAAATTCTGAAAAGCAAAGTATAATTAATGATATTTTGTCTTATATTTTCAAGAGAAAAGAAATTACAATGAAATGAGCTATATCCCTTAATACAAATATTAATTATCCTAATAAAAAATTAACCAACTTTCCGTTGAAGAAAAAAAATCATGCAAAACTTTTCAATATCTTACAAACAGTGAAATAAGCAAAAATTAACATGAAAGCAACTCAAAAAAAAAACATAAAATTCCGCGCAGAATCTTACTCTGCAGAACAAGTTTATCAAAAATAAATAAATAAATAAACAAAATAAATAAATAAAATAAAATAAAAATGTATTATATATAGTATATAAATGACAATGAAATATGTCAATCTCTTAAAAACAGTGACATAAGAAATACGATGAAAAATTGTTGCCAAACCCATATTTCTAATAAATGAAACTATTCAAAATGATGCGATTTCATCAAAAATCTATCAACAACAATAAGACAGGAAAATTGTGGCCAAAATCACATTTTTAAAGATGTGAGATATGCACAGTGTACTCGGAAGCTTCATTTAAATTTTTTTTTTAAAAATACAAAATATTATCATTTTTCCAAAATTCCATTCCTTTTGTAAAAGCAATCGCAGGGATGAAAGTTTAGCGTGTCCAAAAATCAAAGAAAAATAAACATTTTTAGAAAAAATCCCGTTGAAAAGATGTTAAGCTCTCTTTGTTAAATAAATTCGTATTTAATCGATTTATTGAAACACGAAATTTATTTTAAGCTCGTAAAATAGCTAAGAGCCGACGTTTCATGACGATGTGAAAACGGAGTGTGTAGAGCAAAATCTCGCTTTCCTATAGCCCATTATGTCTTAAAATGACGCGATTTCGTCACAAAACATAAAATAAAATTTAAAAAAAAATTCGAATTTCGAAAAAATCGCTTCCAGGTGCACTGGCTCTTGTCTAGATGCACCTATGTACCAAATTTCGTAGCCGAGGGTCTATTAGCTTACGCGCAGCGCAAACGAAAAACACATACACACACAGACAGACTCTTTCTTTTATTATATGTAGAGATATGTAGAGATTCGAAACTGAAAGAAAGGCTGGATTTGCTTTCACAAAGCAATACAGTTTAAAGAAACTTTTATTCAAAATTCTGAACATTTTACGAAGTCTAAAACATCAAGCAGAAAATGACACGTGATTTCAAAAGTGCTGATTATAAATGTATGTGTATTTTAACAAAAGTTTCGTATGCGTTTTCAATTTCTGCAACAGCAGTATAGTGTGAAAGAATTATTAGTGTTCTATAAAGTAAACGGCGAAATGAACGAAATAGGTTGAACTTATAAAAAAATTATTATTTTTATATTTAATTTGAAAGCAATTGTTTAGAATTACCCAAAAAATAAAATGTGATGTATATTTTCTCTAGTGGGTCAAAAGTCAGTACAAATATAATTTATGAAATTAGTTTAGCTTTAAAAATTAAAAATATTTTGTAAAGTTTTTCTGCATTTTTAAATTAACATTTTTTAAAATTGAAATCTAACAATTTTTCTTATAAAGCCTCTTTTGTGTTTAATGAGTCGATATATTATTACTTAAATTACTGAAGTAAAACTTTTCTATTATTTTCAAAGTTTTAAGAAAATGTTCGTTCACATAAAGATTAATTATAATAATTTATAATAGTAACAAACAGGAATTAATTTAAATGTATCCTGAAGAGTTTTTTTATTGGAACTACTTTCTGGATATTATTGAGATTGTAGTTGACAGCGATGAGTTCTACTTCAAATGTAATAGGAACTACATCAACAACTTTCTGTTCATAGAAAAGATATATCCATGCATGATTTCCATCATTCATCCATTTAATGTTTAAGTTCTATGAAAATTTGTTTTGAAACCATCTCCCAATATTTTTTGTTTCCTTATTCTTTGTTTAAGCTATTCCCTAGTAATAGGTGAAAGAAATTCCTTGTTTCCGATAAACGTCTAAATTTAAACATTATTTTCAAGCTGATTCTGAGACTGAATTGTAAAGAATTCTTATATTTTTGCTGTTATGGAATTTCTTTAAATTTAATAGCAAGTGTTTTTAACATGCTGCTATCATTATTGTGCAAATGATTATTTTAGCGGGAATATTAAAGTATTCTGACAACTTGATTGATGATCCCATGTTGAGTTAGCATATTTTCACTTGTCGTAAGCGTTAAAAGTCTGAAATAACCTTACCTAGAGTCAAATGTTGTTTTCTGTTGTCGGAAAGTATTTACTGAAGACATATTACGTTAGAAAATGGAAAAATTCAGTAGATATGTTATCTTTAGAGAGATATCAGTTGGGAATATATATATACTTACAGGCAGTCAAAAGGGCTGAAAGGCAGATATAATTCATCTATTCTACGTACTAAGTCTTCTCTGTTAGCCAGCGCATTTCGAAGGAATCTCAAAAAGGCTCCATATGAAAGTAAGGGACAAACTATTTCAGGCCTGCTTTTTGTGTATCTATAGCATGGCATGCTTTGCAAAAGAACTGAAAAAAGAGGAATGTTATTATTATTATAAAACTACATCTACTAATCTATAGCTTTTCTAACAGATATTGTTGTAAATAAATATCGGTAAATAATATTTAAATCTTTTTATTACATTGCCGTTTTTCTGTATTGTCGTAATATTATGTATTGTTTTACTTGTTTATTTATTTATTTGTTGCTTTTAGAGTAACAAAGTCCGAGATTCGGACTCGTCGGGATTTCGGCGATTTCGGATTTGGGATTTTTCCGGATATTAGATCAACAGTTTAAATCTAATGAGACGGCATGCAGAAATTATAAAAATAAAAATTTGAAATAGTGATTTATGAAATAATGAAGCATCTATGATCAAATATCAAATTTCATCAAAATTTACAAAAAAAAGCTTAATATTTATTTGTTTACTTTATTAAACATATCTTTGAACGTAAATTGTTTAAGCTGCTTCATCCTTTGTACTAATACTTCCTCTTCAATTCTGTAGACCAAGGATGTCAAACTCGCGGCCCGCGGGCCGCATGCGACCCACAAGAAATATTTTTACGGCCCGGCCAATATATCGGCAAGTAATAATATATAATAATAAAATAACATATCGACAAAGAAAAAATGAAATGTTTACTGCTAAGTAATTAACGATAATTTATTGTGTTATTAGATTACTCACAGCGAGCTGACACACACACTACTTAAATTACAAATGCGTGTGAGTAGCTTGCGTTCAGCTATCTTCGGCTTTTGGGGGACACGTGCACTTAGAACTTGTACGCATCCCCCGATAGCCGAATGTGGCCGAACTCATGGTCTCAGTTTTCCAATCATAGTTTTGTACGATATATTTTGTACGATACTTTGCTTTATTATTAATTATTACTTAATTCATATTGTTACGGATTTCATAGTTATTTATTTATTCAGTTTTTTTTAAATTTAGAATTGTAATTAGATTTGCTTCATGTTGCCTTAAAAACGCAGACGATTTTTGAAAAGACAGCTGCGTTGGAAGGTTAAAAATAGAACAGCGCGTGCATTTAATACCAAATAAATAAATATCTCGTAATTGCTGTTGCCATCCACAAAAATCCAGATATTTATAGATGTTTCCAGTATATTCGAGAAATTAATTATAAAGCTTATAAAAGCCGAGAACAAAAACAACTCATCTCAGTAGTAGCTGTAGTTCTAGCGAACTGTTTGTTTACTTAATACTGTGATTGATTTGTAGCGATTTCGTTGTGAGATAGAATTAGTTTCTCTGTTTTGAATTGATTTTTGCTAAACGTTGACATTTTGTGATATTGTTAGAATATTTTTGAAGAAATATTTCAGCATTTTGATTTATCTCTTGTGGAAAGAATACATTTTTGTTAACTTTTTAACGTTAACCGTGTTTATTCCATCCCTTTGTATTCAGTATGTCTATATCAAAACCAAGTGGTAGTAAAATTAAACGAAAAAAATCGCTGACGAACATAGAATATTCCAAGTAAAATGGGAATTAGAATATTTTGCTGCTGTGAAATAAGAGATAAAATAATCTGCTTGATATTTAATAATACTATTAATGTACCAAAGTTATATAATATTAAACGTCATTACGAACAACACAAATCGAAATATAACAATTACGAAGGATTAATGAGAGAAGAAAAGTTGAAAGAGCTCAAGTTAGGAGTGAAAAAGCAACAGTCCATGTTTAGTAAAGTATTGCAAGAAAGTGAAGCGGCGGTACATGCAAGCTACGTCTTGTCCGAGTTGATAGCTAAATATTCGAAGCCTTTTACTGACAGTGATTTCATCAAGGAATGCCATTATTCAAGAAATTTAGCATGGATTTTTAAAAATGCTACTTAATATTTGCATTTTAGCGTGCGCAATATTCCCACATCCATAGGCTGAATGATGGACGTACAGTTTGGAGGAAAGAATAACACGGATACATTATGTTTAATACTTTTAAGTGAAATATGAGCCAAACAGTTATCTACAATCAGGACATTTTTTGCCTCTTCAGGTAAACCAACCGAATTCAAATTTTGCCGAGCCTCGGGTATGAAATGATTTTCAAACCAATCATTCAATAACGCTTGTGTCATCCATGCTCTTTTATTTGCATGATACATATTGGGAAAATCTTTACTCGTTTAAAATGCTCGAGATCGTATATTTTTCCGATTAGGAAAAGTTTACACTGGTGCGTTCGTCCAGCATTTGCGCGTGCTAAAATTGTTAGTCTAGCTTTGGAATCTTTGACAGCATTTGGATCCTTTTCTGTAGATTTTGCCAAGATATTTTGCGGTATTGCCAGAAAATAACAGTTTCATCAGCGCTGTAAATTTGTCCTGGAGATAACGTTCCGCTGTTCGGAGATAACGCTAACGTCCTGGAGATAACGTTCAATGAATTTATCTGAAAATAGTTCAGCAGCTTCAGTATCAGCTGAATTTTTTCAACTGAATTTTTTAATTGCATTATACCACAGTGATTTTTAGATTTGGTTAATTAATCTATCGAATATGTGCATTCAGGTTTTAAGTTCATTTCTTCATGAAATAGTTAGGCTTGAGCCATTAGCATTAGACCCGTCAATGGTACGCCTTCTCTACGTCTCTGTCTGACCATTTAATCATCACTTTGTCATAATCGTCACTTTTAGTATAGCGAATAATTCTTCTGTTATTCATTGAGAGTCGGGTGTCGCAGTCACCACTACGAAAAAAAACTATAAAGCTCCTTTTTCTGTTATGTCATGTATAGTTGACTTTCCAATGCCAAACTCCTTGCATGATTTTGAGACGGAAATACATATATTCATTTTTTGCAGCAATTTCCCTTTTTATTTAATGGACATCGAAACATGCTTTCGCTTTGTAGGTCCTGTTGCAACACCAGAATTAGAAACTCTTTTCGACATAATCGAAAGTTAAAACTTTTGTTTTCATAAAATTGCTGTAATTATATCAGCCTGTAAAAATAATAAGTTGGATCAAATCAGAAAGTTAAGGAACAGCGCAATCTGCTATATTAACTGAAAATCTTCTTTGGAATCAGTAAAATTATAATTTTAACCTACCAGCGTCCGCTATACATGACTGGCTATTTAGCATGAGATTGGCGACGAAAGAGAAATTGTTGCGTTAACTTTTGTCTTGCTTCTGTCGCGCACTGAGACAATTAAGCCTGAATTTTATTAACTTAGTTATTTATTATATTTACGTCTAATTCTTATACATGCTTAAGGCTTTCTGAGTCCTGAATAAATAAATTTCCACATATGCTGAAGCTTACTGAGGGCCGGCGCTAGATATTTTGCCGCTTGATGCAATCTCTGCGAGTCCTAAATTCTGCTAATAAGCACCTCCCTAAGTTCTAAATTTTTGATGCCCTTTAATTTTAGGTCCCAGTGTTTTCCTTAAATTCTAAAAATTTTATCATCCCTTAATTTTGTTACTTTGAGCTTTTCTAAATTTCAAAAATTTTGTCTTCCCTAAATTCTGCCTCCCGGTGCGGCCATACGATCTCTGACGCCGGTTCTGGGTTTATGTGAATAACAAGTCAGTTATTCTTAATTCAAATAGCACTAAATGTAATCTTTTGGCCTAAGAGTATCATTAATAAAATCTATTTTTAGCGTATGGAAAGAAATTTTTGTTAAATTTTTCCTTGTCAACATTTAGCGCATTTAACTTAAATCTGTAATCATCACCAAGCGTAATGTCAACATAAAATGTTTCATACTTTTTATTATTTAATTACTAATATAAAAAAATGTATAGGTGTGGCTGCATGAGTCATTACCCAAGTTGTCGTGTGTTGCTAAACATACGGTGATGAAAGCAAAATATAATAAATAATGATTTGCCAGGTTAGCGTCAGGGGCATAAAATATTAGTAGTTGTAAAATCAACTATGTTTCTATGTAGACCTATGTTTCTAATGCTTTGGTATGAGATGTATGCCAAGCAGATACGCAGGTACAGAGCCAAATTATTGATCAAACAATTTTATGCTAAAATTGTTGTTTCTACAATAAAGAGGTATTTTATTTAGCGCCGAAGTGAATTTAAGAATCGGGATTCTCCACATGCTTTCGTATGGGGGGGGAGGGTAATCAAATGCGCATGCGTAAAGCATAAAAAATTCCTAAAAAATTTTGTTGGTGGCTTGAAGGTCCGTATTTTAGATCATTCTGGATATTGGACGTCTGGATCTCGGACTTTGTGCTGTAGTAACTCGAGAGTTTATTTTGTGTTCAATTGTATTTGAGGCCACATGTGTTGTATATAAGTATTTATTTCTTATACAGAACTATAGATATTTTAGTTCTGCGCCCATCAACTTTAAATTATAAGAACTAGCACAAGGAAAGCTTGGGAAAATACGTTCCTGATGGGCAATAAGGACAATTTTATGACAAAGTTAGCGATATTCGGAGATTTTTCGCCAGCATGATGATTTTCTAGAAGATTCGGTTAAACATATTTTCGAAGCTCTATGATTCTTCCCGATATTTTTAAATGCCAGTGCAATTCTTTATAAAACGTCTCCTAAAGCTGGGGAGTGAATTGTTACTGAGCTCCGAAAGGAGCTAGTGACTTTACCCTTCCTGTTCTAAAGATACCTGTGACTAAGAGCGAATCAGTTGAACTGAGTTATAGAATTTATCGTGTAAGAGCTATTGGTAACTTACGATACTTGTCATATGCTAAGGAGTAATTGCTCAATATCCAGGTTCTTCTAACTATTTTTAGCTATATATTGTTCTGTCTATTTGGAATTTTTATAATGAATCATCAGTTTCTTTCTCTTTATCTGGAATGGTTAGTTAAAGTGATATAAACGAACAGATATCCCGCCTCAATATATACAAAAACTTAATATTTAAGATGGGCTTTAAAAAACGTTTAAATATTTTGGAGTCTGTGGGAGGGGAAGGTAGCCCCACACCCTTTTCTACAAACAATTGAGCGATACGGAACAAAAGTATAGTACGTAC